TTAAGACAAACATGTATCTTCTCATGTGTGAATCCAATAAAAGTATGTATTTACTTAGCATCATATACTCTCGTAAAAAGCACATTATTTTCTGGTAGTATCTCATTTAATAAACTTACAAAGTCTATAAAATTCTTATGCATCTACTGTACAATGGTGTTTCTGCATCATCTTTTGACATCTTAAACATTTTTGAACAATCTCTAATTCATTCTTCAACAACATTCAAAATATTTTCAACATGATCACTTTTAATTATGCTACACTTACAAATCTTCCTCCAATTGTGAAACTTTGTAAGTGAATTTATTTATTCCATACTTTGTGATTAATTTATGTTACATGCTTATTTATTTCACCACAAACCTAGTTATATTTCTTTAGCTACTTTTTACTTCAACATTCTTTGTTGGTCTCTTTCAAGCTTCTCTTGGAATCCTAAGGTAATCACTTTTATATTATGCAATTTTTAATTCTTTTACAATATGAATAAGTATATAACCAATATTAAATTATTGCAAGCTATGATTTATCATTAATTTTCTATCTAAAAGTATCCTAATTGGGTTTATGGCTAGAGTAACTATATGGAGGGGGGTAGCCACATATTTTGGGGGGAAATGCAACATATACATGAAATTACTAGAAAAATTCTAGTCAAGTGTGAAACAATCATTTAAATAACTTAATAGTTGCATTAACAGTGATTTATAATTAAATTTATAGTATAAAAATTTGTACACGAACAATGTATCAAAATTAAACTTTTCTTAATTTTTTAATTATTGTGATTTTTCTTTCATGTTTAAATTTAAGTCTCCCCATAATGTGAACACTAACTCAAATTTTGTATCTAAACACACATTGTTGATTTACTTCTTTTATGCGTTTAATTTTCTGAATGTGGTCAAACGAAGACTGCGTAAAATTTCTTGACGTTGAATTTAGGGTGTGTTAAAGTGACAACTTATAAAGTATTCATTTAATAATTTTTTATCAGCAAAATTTTTTTAATAGGATACAGGAGGTTCTAATCCAAATACAAAGTTCAGCTTATGTTAGTAAATTTTTATTACATAAAAAATTATACTATAATATTGACTATAATATTTTTTTGACATAAAATTAAAATAAACTTATTTTGATTCGTTATAAAAAAAAATTAATGAAGGTCATAAGTTATCTCTATGATTCATTATACAAACTCTTTCAAATACATGCACTCTTAAAGTGGAAATGTGAAAAGAACAAACTTGTCCATAACATTTCAAGGGTTGGCAGGGATAGAATTCGACCTATGTTTGATACGTGAAGCTTTGAATGTTATTAGGGTCATAGTAATTATATTGCAACAAGGGTAGCAGAATATATAGACAAATTGAAATTTTTATTAAATATGTAAAATAGTTTATGTACAGGATACAAAAATAAAAGTTTTTTAAATTTTTTTAATATGATTTATAGCACTAATTTATTTTAATAAATTTCATGATCAAGTTTATGATATAAATATTCATATAAAAGTTTTTCCTAAATAAATTTTAATTAAGTTGTTTATCTAGATACGTAAGAGAATATTAAATACTATATTTTGTATATTTCATATAATATATATTTTTAATAAAATTTCCGTTTTTTAACTAAGGGCATTAATTACTATTTGTAATGTTATAATATAAGAAAAATAAGTTTTTGCATTGTTATTAATTAGCAGTACTTTAGTTCATTCATTAGGACTTGCAACACCTAATGTGTTCTGAATCTTTGTGTATAGTCCAGTGAATATTGAAATGAAATTAAAAACTTGTACCAGAAAAACATGAGGTTGAGAACGCGTGTCCTACACGAAAGACGGTAGAGTTTTCGATGTCTTCCGTTTATGAATTTTCTGTTCCCGAGACGATAACTCAATAATATTTGGAAATTTAATTATGAATCTAAATTATCTACAACTTTTCAAAATTTTATATACATATTGAAAGAAAAGGAGGAAGATAAGCGTTTCAGACATTTACAAATTTTAATAATGTAAAATTGATAAATTTAATTATTAATTTAAATTTTTTTATTAAATAGATTATTTTATTAAATTTTATATAAAATTAAAATTAATAAATATTTTATCACGTTACTTTATTTTTAATAAATAATATATTTTAAAATATAAATAAATAAAAAAATTTATAATATATTTATAAATATCTAAATTATGTGAAATTTAATATATTTTATTACGAAGATAATATAAGATGATTCAATAGTTAAAAGTTTTTTACATAAATAAAATAAAATAAATTACATATTACATAAATCATTTAAAGTTAATTCTTTTATATATATATATATATATATATATATATATATATTATACATAATAAAAGTTGACTAAAATTGACTTTTGTAAAAAATAAAGTTAATTAACTTATTTGACTTCACTTCTAATTATAATTATGCCTTATTGTTACACTTTTATATTGTCTATAAGTGTGTCACGTAATGTTAAAAGTTGAGTTGAACTATTTTATTTGTGAAGTAGAAGTTAATTATAATTAATTTTGATATGTGTCAGAAAAGTCAATTATAATTTATAGTTTAGAACGATGTTAAAAGTTGAGTATAATTGACTTGTGTGTCTATTTAAACAAAATAAGTTAAGTCAATCTTTTCATAAGAATGATGAGGCAAAATGTGCTTCAGGAGAGACTTGTACCAATGGATACAAAGGAAGGAGGTGAAGTGGATATTTCTACATAGAAGGGGTAGAAGGAAGTGTTGTAGTGTAGTTGTCATGGAGATGGATAATAATATATATTAACTTAACTTTGTTGTCTTGTTCAAATACCAAGTAATTTGAAGCTTCTTAGATCACTTGAGTAGTACTTATACTGTCAAAGTGTCGCTTTAGGCTCCTCAACTACATTCAAGAGGGTCTCTAAAAATTTTCAACCACTTGCAAGTTACATCTTTGTCTTTGTGCCCTCTTGGATGAACAACTCAATAAAAAAAATAATATATTGACTTTACTATGGTTGTAATGAAAAAATTGTAAGTGTCTTTTATGACAACATTCATACACTTTGATAAATTAGTTGTCATGTACCCAAAGCAATGACCCTTGTTAGCATAGTGAGCTCACTTATTGCACAATATATTGTTAACCCATGCATATATTACAGAATCTACATGTCTCAACTCCTTAAACTAACATAGAAAAATATGTTCAATCTTTGCATATGTTGCATTCATTAGCAACTTCACATCTTTGTTGAATACTTTACAGAAAATTTGACACAAAGTAATATGCATGATATATATGTAGGCATAGATAATATGATAATCCATCAAGCATGTTGATTCATAGATTCTAGAAAGACACATGTGCACAATTTCATGAGCTTTCGCACTTTCCACAATTAGAAAGTTATCGAGATTGAGATTGAGAATGTGACATCAAATGTTCACCAAGCTCTAGACATGAAACAATTGTCAATCTTCTTTATCATAGTTTGCCACATAATCAGAGTCTTTTTCTTCATTATTTTCATCATTCTAGTGCTGAACAATAAAATCAAAATCCTTAATCAAGCTAGCTTGTGCCATTGCTTATGGATTTAGAAATAATGACTTTTCAATCCGTTTAACAAAGTGTTCGAAACTTAGAGAAGTTATCTCATCATATGAATTGTGCATGTCATGGTAGGACACATCAAATGATGGACTTGCATTAGATACAAGAAGAGATTGATCTGGAGCTGAACCTCCAAAACTAAAAGGATTACCTTAGAGTTCAACAAACAGTTTTATTGTATGATTTTTAGCAAACAAGTTAAAATAATTAAACATATGATCAATGTACTCATCTTTTCGAATTCATCACCATTGATATTGGATATCATTTGACTCAATATAAACTAATATCTTATATAATATTTTTGAAACTTGCATTTTTTTTCCCTGCACACCTCTAATATAAAACTTTTTAGTTGTAGTAAAGTAATTGGTGGACGAACAACTAAGCTTAATTGTCACTATAAAATGTCTATTCCTCTATTATGTTTATAATTGATCTCATTGTTATAATATATATTTATTTAAAAAAAATTGTTAGATCATTCAATTTTATATTATATAAAAAATTATTAAAAAATATAAGTCTCAGAATTTGACACACGTGACTCATGTACGTAAACTGAGATTCTCACTATCTCCCCTAAAAGTTACCACTATATGTATCTTTATAATTAATTCCCACAAATATAAATTCAATTTATAACACAGAAACATGTTTTAAATTATAAATAAAAAAATGTACGAAAGAAAACAAGAGGTATATTAACGTAAAATGTTGTTAGAATATTTGTAAAAATATAAGAGAAATATTAAAAATAATAAACCATTAATATATATTTGGCTGCGGATATAAATAAAATTCTTATAAAAGAAACTCAACTGAGTAAAAGTTAGAAATCCAGTCGGAAGAACTTAACAAATGAGCTATGCCAATTGTCTTCCAATTCATTGTCAAGTGGAAAGCATACGTGGACCTGCACGTGAAATCTAAGTGCGATGAAGTTGGATCAGATGTGCTATTAATTATAACGTTAAAAACTAAAACCATTTTAAAGATGTTGGGTATAATGGGAACCATCCGATCCCTAACCAGTAAAGGATGTAACCAAAATATACTTGGATAGAATTTCAATCTTGTTGTTTAAATATTTTAATATTATTAAAAAATCTTTTTATATTATCGTAAATTATTAAAATAAACTTTAATTTAATTTAAAATGATCGATATTATTTTTCAATATATGTGTGTGTGTACGGTGAGACAAATACTGGTCATGTGCTGTTTCATCCTTTTCTCTATAGTTTTCACTGTCTTAAATTTATTCAGCTTTTACTTCAGCAACAACCTTGTAATATTTATTTGAAATAAGAATTCAAGTTACATATACATGATAAACTTTCGACTAGAACACCTAATTACAAAGGCTTGGACTAGCAAGTAAAAAGTTAAATTAAATAAAGGGAACCATGCATATTTGATAATTATACAGAAGACAAAAAAACAAAAAACAAAACACAAAAACAAAAAAACCCACATGTATGCAAGTCTTAAACCCTCTTTTACAGCTTTAGGTGGAACCAATTTAATGCACATTGTCGTTTAGGGATTAATCACTTCCTGGGGATTTTGGATCATGATCTTTATTTGCTCCGGTTCCTTCATAATCTTGGGTTTCTAAATCGATTCTCCTCTCTATGAATCCTTTCTCCATGTCAACCAGCACCTCCTCACCATTTCCAACCTGAAGCACATGCTCCAACTGCAAAACATATTATAAACAAATACAAAATCAAGAAAATAAACCATAATCACAAAAATAAAATAAAAAACTGTCTTTATTAATTAATTTTAATTAACTCAGTTGTCCAAATCCTTCTATAATAATAATAATAATAATTACCCTTAAAACATTGGTGAAGGAATCAATAAATAGTGATGTATTAGTTAAAATTTCTGTTAAAATATGTTAAAAGAAATTACAATAAGTATATTTTTATGTTTTTTTAACATGATTTTCTATTTTTATTCCTTAATCAGTGATCCAGTTAGCATTTTTCTACTACTACTAATTTTTTCGGTTGAAGATGTAACTATACAGCAGTAATTCAAGGGTTGGTAGGAGAGCGATTAGGAGCACTGACCTTAGCTGAGGAAGGTAGATGAGCTGGTGTATCTTCTTTACCTTTCAAATTTTGGGTTCCTATAATCAAGAAAATCAATTCAATTCTACACTGAAATCGAAGATCAACCAAACAAAACTGAAGAATAAGTTAAATATCCCATGATTAAGGCTTACTTGTAGCAGGAACAGCAGAAGCAGAAAGAACGTAAGAGAAGCAGAGAAAGATCTCAAGTAGCAATAGCAGCCTCAGGAAATTTCTCTGCATCTTGAATTAGATGATGAATATCATACACCCCACTAAGTTATTGGGTGACAAGGAAGAGCACTAAGCAGAGATGGGTAATGGCAAAGGGAGCATGAACCCTTTTGTGCTTAAATAGGTGGCACAACGAAAGAGACTACAATAGACAAATGAAAGCACCGCATAAGCCAAAAAAAGTCAACTTGGTCATTTTATTTTTCTATTGTGCCCACTGACCTAACTTGATGTATTCACGGTTCGTAATCCACAAACAAGTGCTTCTCTAATTATAGATCGTAAATTTTCTGTTTATATTTCCTTAAGTCTTCGTTTTGCTCGGTGAAACATGTCTTCTAGAATTTAATTTCAATCAATAATGTAATTATTTTATCAGAGTAAACTATTATCATATTATATAATTATGTATATGGTATCAACTTGTGCTACGGTTATACAAGTTCAATGAAAATTTAACTTGCATTAACCTAAGCTTTAATAGTGTGCTTTTACAACGTGAATTATTGAAAATTTAAACTACAACAAATATGGTGTTTATTGAAAATTATGTAAATAAATAAACTTTACAATTAACTTTATAAATAACGTCACATTAAAAGTTCATTAAATAAATATTGAGAACATAAGTTATTTCTAATTTATGAAAAATATTTTATTTATTTATTAAATTGTTATTTTTTCTTTTAGCAATAATTTTATAAAAGTTTACCTGAATTAAACCTAAATCAAATTTGGAATTAATCATAATACGGTGAAACAAACTGTTTCAGGGATTTTTTTTTTTTTGCCGTTCATAAAGTTAGAACATGAAATAGTACTTAAGAGAAATTATGTATGTATTACTTGAACTAATTGTCATTATTTTTCCTAATTTGTAGTTATTACATACTATATAAATTAATTATATTATAAGTAAAATTAGGGAATAAATAAAAACCACTTTCCAACATTTACAAACATCAATTTCCCGAAGAATAATCGAATCTAACAATTTAGTTCAATAATGTGTACTTAATTATACACAACCAAGTAAATGTATGTTATCTTGGAGCGTACTTGATGGGCGGGGTGGGATACTGAATTAACGTGCATGATTGAAAGATATGCCAAATCTAAAATAAAACACTAATTTTGTCTTCATGTGTTTTGAATATCAATTTTGAGACCGAATTGCTTATATAAATAATTATTATCAATGTTCTCCGACTTAACAGAATATTTAGAATACTTTTCTTTACAATTCGCGACTCGTGAACACTTTTTCTTTTTTCAAGAGAAAGAGAGCTTACTATACCTTTATATCATGGTATGATACGACTAAGAATATATAAGTTAATAATAACATCATGAACCAGTGGTACAATAACATTGTCGAATAAATCATTGAATTAATAGCTAAATTAAGCTTATGTGTGAAGCTAAAATAATGGAACAAGAATGTTTATTTGATCAATTAATATAATTTTTTTTATTTAAAACAAATTTTTTATTGTATTATTTATTTGAGGTCCTTATACATGTAAATGACCAAGGAGCTATGGAAGAAGGGGTGCAGGAGTCCGTACTCGCGCTCCTTTTTCTTTTAAATACATTTATAGTTTTTTATTTTTATTTTTGAAAATTTATAATTTTATCATTATAATTTATAAATATACATACGAAAAGTAAAAATACTTTTAAATAATGTTAATTTCGTGTTATATTAATGTTTAGACATATATTTATATTAGATATTATATTGTTGTTTTTGAATACTTCTAAGTACATTTTTAATTTCTTTACAGTAACAATATATAGACTCTTTATAATGCTAACTAATCATAAATTATTATATCAATTCAAATAATTAATTTTTTTGTAATACTTAATATTAAAATCATATTCACAATATATTTTAATTGATTGACAATATAATTATATATATATATATATATATAATTTATCTTTTTGTAATACATTAATAGAAATTTCATTCACAAGCTTCAACAAAAGATTAAAGCTTGAGATCTCATGTTGAAAGAATTCTCTTTGCCAACTAACATCTCAAATTCACCTAGTGTTATCATGAAAATCATTCTCTATTACACAAGATTCAACATTCCTCGCCATCACAAACAATCACGAAAATGTCTTACACAATCGTGTTTCACCTACTCACTTATCTCTCCAAAAAAGTGTGTGCAAACCTGCACCCACACTCCTATCCAACTTCTCATCCAACCATGAATTCTCTTGATGAATAACCTTCAGCAAATCATGTCACCACAAAGAACATCTGTTGTGGACTGATGGATGCTGAATAGAAGAAACTAATCTAGCATATCTAGCTTTTAACACCTGCATCTACAATGAACTAGAATAATTAACACATCGTCACAACTATTTACCAAGAAATGCCAGTTAAACCACTGCACATTCTTAATGTTCAAGCCACTATTCTTTCACGGTGTACAAACCATTTTCCATTTCACCTAGGTGATTTTAGATCTATCCTTAACACCCTTCCATAAAAAATTTTGCTGGATAATGACAATCTATTTTATCACCGACTTTAGCGCTTTAAAAAAAGATAACAAGTGCAATGACATAGAATTAAGAACGACATTAATCAAAGTCACCCTGCCACCAATAATATATTTTTTTATATTAACCGTGCATTAAAATTAAACTCACATGACAATTATAATTTTATATTATGTTAATAAAGACTCATACTTATTTTTAACAAAAATTAATTTTTTAATGTGTTCTAAATTTTTTATGTTATATCTAATAATTTTTAAAATTTATCATATTTTTATGTCATTGTTATACTATTTTATCTAATGCAAAAAAAATATTTATACTTATTATTACATTAATGATTTTTTCTTAAATATAAGTCTTTTTATTAAATAAAAATAAAAAATTTAAGTAACTTATAAGAGACTTATAACTTAATGACTTTAAAGTTTTGAAAAGAACGTAATATCTATTTTTTTTTAACTATAATTATTGATTTTAATAATAATAATTAAAAATATGTTGTAACATCCTTATCTCAAAATTTATACAATGTATATATTATACTTTATAATTTGATGTAAAATATAAAGTTTGTGTATATTAGGCTGCGTTATGATTAATTATTGAAATTTTTTATATTTTGAAATAATTTGTAAAAATACTTTCATTCAGATTAATATAAATGGTATGACAAAGATTCTAAATACTATATTAAACATAAAAAAAAATAATAAGTTAAAACACTATATATATATTCCAACGATCAAGTACATTAATTTACAAACCATTTGTCAAAATGTATGAAACTTAAAATAATATTTACATCACATAAACTAACAAAAGTCTCAGAGCAGTTTCAGATCATAAACCAATACTAAAGATTAGTCATATTCATCAACCTTGTGCTAGCTTTCTATTTCAGGTAGGTCCTCTGAGTCTATATCATCATCTGAACCCAGATAATCATCGCCCGAGTCAGCTCTGACCTCTATCTAACTGATATGCTCAAAGGTCCATCGGGTAGGTCTTCCAAGATGGTCGTGGTTGAGATAGGCAAAAAGGTAAGTGAGGGATGCTAGAGTTCTAACCATACCTCTATACATATATACACACAAGGTCTGATGTATTCTACTCCTAGAAAAATCAAAAGGGATACTACAAGAGAAATTCATCTCTATCATAACAAAAATTCTAGGTTCATCTCCTACTAGTACAGTAAATTTAAAATAGTTTACTTTCTAATATTCATTAAATACATAGTTTAACCTAAAATGTACAAATCTATCTACTAATCTAATTCTTTCATGACGTTCCGTCATCTTGGTTTCCTGAAAATTTTAGTAAGGATGAGCATCTATTCTATCATTTTTCAAATATTATATCACAAAATCATAATTTATAGTATAAATGCAACATATTCATATTTACACTAATTTCATAAAGCAAACATAATCAAACACACATAATTTATAATTCACTATCTATTATCCATTTTCTCATCCCAATACGCACTCTCAATGCATTGTGATCATAAATATCAACGCTTCCAGCACTTCTCGAGGTTTTACACAACTAGGTAAATAGTTGCCGGTTAGCCTATGCACACGGATACAACATGTATAATAATCAGGGCCCTTAGCAAAGGCATAGTCAAGAGTCTACCCAGGAAACGAGTGTGAAGCCATGTGACGTATTCGCTCTCAGAAAGAGTATGTACACATACGCAACTGTCGCTTACCACTCTACATTTCCTCCAGATTTTCATCGTCTTCAGACTCTATACCCTCAGTGTATCTCTGTAACTATTCACACTAGATCCAATCCATATCTGACTCTTAGGTCATTCTTAATGTTATTCTCTTTCTCACTCATAAGATTGTGCTTGTTAAAGCACTTCCAGACTAATATCATTCCATTCAACTTAATCATTTCATCTCATTCATACATACTCCATACAATCACATAATAATCATTCAGCAAATTCAATCATCGTCCACATTAAGTACTCATCATATAATACATATCCACATATATTTCAACCACTTAATCCAAACAACCAAATAGTCCAAACAATCAAACAAACATCTTTTCGTCCATTATTTATACAAAAGATATCTCAACCACATATTCTCATAAAATATTCATATAACCGTGCTCTATGAGCACAAAATAAATATTGTAATATAACAATAAAATAGAGCTCTCCTTACCTCAAAGATGAGCTCATAGAGAAATATTAAAAAAGATCAAGGTTCACGAATGGAAGTTCTCCTGAATACCAAGAGATATCCATAAGAAACAAAAACAGGAAAATAATCAAAGAAACTCAAGTTTAATTCAAAGAAACTTACTTAGAGTCGATTAAATTCAATGTCCAAGTTCAACTTTGAAGAGAAAATGGAGTTTCTGAGGCTTTTATCTAGGAAAAAGGAAGAGAGAGTTCAGAGAAAACTTGAGAGAGAGGCATGAGTTCAGAAACAAATGAGATTTTCATGCAGGAAATCTCCTAAATACCCCTCAGCCTCGTGCATTGACGACTTTGTTGCCTAAGCGAGATATGCAG